GTTCACACAATGAAGGAAATTCTGTTATCATGTTACAAACCAGGGTTATCATAGTTAACTAAAACTACTGTAAAACATTTTTAAAAATGTGTTACTTAAAATGAAATAGAATTTTATGAAAATAAATATATACGTATATTTTAAAACAAAACTTTTTTAATTTTAGCTAGTTAAAACTGAAGTAAAAAATTATTTAAAAATATAAAGAGATATTTAAAGGAAATTATGAATGATAAAAACACAACAAAATTGCTAAAACTTTAACTAAAATTAAAATGAAAACACAAAATATAAAAATAAAATAATTCAAAAATATTAATAAAAACTATAATAGTATCTTATTTTTATTAAAATAACACTGTTCCAAATCTGTACACTTTAAAAAAAAATATGTATATATTTTTCATAGTTGTAATAAATAAAACAAAGATTATTGAAGTACATTTTACAAGAAACGTTTCAGTGTAATTCAGTGTGTCTCTTGCCATTTCTTTGTACCTGTTTGTTAAATTTACTAGCAATTTCTGAGAGAAAATTATTTCTACACCAAATTTTTGACTTTCTTTCTTCTGTGGAACACAAGACGCTGTTTTTTTTCATGCAATAAAAGTGGATGGTGATTCATATTAATAAAAGCTCCAAAAAGCATGAAAGTCTGACTCAGTGGAGAGCTGCATCATATCAGCGTATATTGATTAATCAGACGTCTCTCTGACGTCTCTGTGTTTGTTGCAGTATTCTCTCTGTAATGAGCCCTTGATCGAGCTCTCAAACCCCGGTGCCAGCGGCTCCATTTTCTACCTCACTCGAGACGATGAATTCATCCTGAAGACCGTCATGCACAAAGAGGCTGAGTTCCTGCAGAAGCTGCTTCCAGGATACTACATGGTGAGCCAGCAGCTCGTCCTCAGTCCAGTTCAGCTTCATCACACAAACAGTAGTGTGCATGATCACAGGATAAAAGAGTAGGACAAAGCTGGCTGGTTAAATATTTTTTAACCAGCCAGGGAAATTTCAAAGTATGCATCTTACATAAAAGCATTAACATTTTAGGCCAACCCTTTTTAAATGTTTAAAAATGTATGTGATGTGAAGCTGTTGCAGCATTAAGAGTAAGTGAAGTAATGAAGTTTAAGGTAATGCATTTGTGCATTCAAACACAAACACAGTCTGTGGTCAAGACACAAATTTAGTTTATTTTAAAAAAATCACATGTGCCATATTTACAATTTTCAAACAGTGTTATTGTTGTATAATATACGATTATAGTTTTTAATGTTATTTTTATATTTTATTTTTCATTTTAATTTAAGTTAATGTTGTAGTAATTTACTTTTTTATGTCTACATGGTTTTTTATCAAGTTTTAGTTTTTAGTTGACAATGGCAACCCTTTAGTCAATAAATGAGACATTTGAGAGTTTGACGTGTTCTTTCCAGTGATTATGATTCACAGCATTTGTGCCGCATTAGACATTGTGCAACATTAGTGATATTTACTTGACAGCAGGGCTGGCAAAAAAATATATGTTTTCAAATATATATATATTTTAAAATGTATTTCACAATACACAAAATATGACCAAAACTATATATTTGCTGAAATATACTCTAAATTTTTGAAAATGTATTTGAAAAAATATTCATATCTTTAAAAAAAGAAAAAGAAAAAAACACTAACAAATATATATTTGGTTTCCATCCATTCATTTTAATTCAAGGCTATGCATTGACATGTAGTATGTCACATTTGAAGAAAACTTGTTGTCAGTAACACGTGTAAATGAATCAGCAATAAATAAATAAATCAATAATAAAAAATAAACATTATTAAATCATTATAAATTTAGCTTTGATTTGTAGTAGACCTAAATAAGCTATATATATTAGTGCTGTCAAACAATTAATCGCGATTAATCGCATCCAAAATAAACGTTTTTGTTTTCATAATATATGTATGAGTAGTGTGCATATTTATTATGTATATATAAATACACACACATACAGTATATATTTGGGAAATATTTACATGCATATACATTTATATATTTATATTCTTATATTTTATATTATATATAAATATATTTAATATATAAGCATAACATATTTTTCTTAAATATATACATGCATGTGTTTGTATTTATAGACACATAATAAATATACACAGTACACACAGATATATAATGTAAACAAAAACTTTTATTTTGGATGCGATTAATCGCGATTAATCGTTTGACAGCGCTAGTTATTTTTAGTTATTTATCTGTAACTTAAACAAAATGAAAATGAGAAATGTTTCCTTGGCAACTAGCTAAAATAAAATTTCTGCTGTTTATTTTTATTTTTTTATTTTTTTATTTCAAGTATTGAAAATGTTTTTTTAAGGTTCTAGATTTAAAAATGCCTCATTTTGCATCATTCAACAGATGAAAACATTAAAAATCTAGATTAACAAATAATAAATACTAAATATATAAATGATATGAAAAATGAAAATTCAAAAAAAAAAAAAATGAAACATTAAAAATAAAGATAGATAAATAGATACATAAAGAGAGTTAAGGCACTCCTCTTTTTCAGTTGCTTTAAGGATTGAAATAAAAAATGTTAAATGTCACAAATTAGTGCTTAATTTGTGCTCAAAATTAACCTTAAAAATGCTAAATAATAAGCATAATTAGGGATAGTAAAGATTAACTTCCAAAAGTACAAACATAAAATAACATTTGAAAAAAATACTGTATACACAGTGTATATATATATATATATATATACACAGTTTGTGAAAATGAAAAGATTAAATATAATTTTAAAAAGTATTGTTAAATACAGTTTATCTCTTTTATTTTGTTTTATTTTTGTAATTGTTTTTTTTTTGTGAAGTCATAATTTTGTTATGATAAGAAACTGTTTTGATCTGTTTGCTATTTGCAAAGGTGGTTACTATTTATTATTTTCACAGCATGATATTGATGAGTTGTACGGTATTAAAACTAGTTAGGGTCAGTTTGGCCCGCAAACATCATAATAATAAATAATTAAAATGGTAGTATATGCAACCCTCAACAGTTTAAAAACAAAAACATATGATATGCATGTCCATATTTTTTGATCCATAGATAATAACAAGTGAGATTTCTGACCACTGAACTAGGAAATCTTCCCGGTTTATATTTCTGAAATCAGGTCACATCATTATTACACCACAGCCCTTTTTCTCTGTTTTCTCTGATCATGTAGCAGCGATTTCAATCATTTTTCCCAGGTTTTCTGACTCTTTAAATGAGGCTCGTCTGTGTTGTTGGTCCCTCAGAACCTGAACCAGAATCCCCGCACGCTGCTGCCCAAGTTCTTCGGCTTGTACTGCGTTCAGTCCGGAGGGAAGAACATCCGTATCGTGGTGATGAATAACATCCTGCCGCGCATCGTTCGCATGCACCTCAAGTTCGACCTGAAGGGCTCCACGTACAAGCGCCGCGCGTCCAAGAAAGAGCGCGAGAAGTCCAAGCCCACCTTTAAAGACCTGGACTTCATGCAGGACGTTCAGGACGGACTCCTGCTGGACGTGGACACGTATAGCGCGCTGCTGAAGACGCTCCAGAGAGACTGTCTGGTGAGAGAGACCGGCTTGATCTCGGCAAAATCATCCAATTGTGATTTTTCCGATTAAAAACGAAAACTCCAGGTTTGCTTGTTTGTTGGGCTACACGATTTTGGGTCAAAATGTTGTAATTATATAATAATAATAATAATAATAATAACAATAGAAATTATTATTAACACAAATTATTGTTATTATTATTGCAACTAAATAAAAATATGAATTGCTAAATAAAAACAAAATAACAAATATTACTATTGTAATATTTCATTGTAAAATAGAAAAAGCAAGTATTTAAGAAAAATAATGCAATAATAAAAAATTAAACATTTATAAAAAATCAAATGGTACCTTTTAAGACTATTCATTAGGTAAATCTGGACATTCATTTATTTATTTATTTATTTAAATTGTATTATTTATTTTTTTTTTTTTTCAAAATTTGCAACTCTGATTTAACATGAAATTAAAAACAAAAAAATTCAGTTTTGGTTTTCTTGGTTGTAGGGCTACAAAATTTATTATTATCGTTGTTGTTGTTGTTGTTATTGTTATTATTATTATTGCTACTAAATAATGATATAAAAATTGCTAAATAAAAACAAAATAAATATTTGTATTGTAGTATTTCACTGTAAAATAAATAGAAAAAAATTAGTATTTAAGAAAAATAATTTAATAATCAGTCTTATATGCAATAGAAATGTGAATATGCAATATAAAACAATTATAAAAATGCCAATTTAGCTTAAAAACAAATTTTGTCACATTTTTGCCACTTAACCAATATATAAATAAATGGTCAGATTTACCTAATTAAGAGTCTTTTAAAAGCTTGACAGTTTCAAAAACATTATGAATGTACAGCTCAATAATTATTTAAAATTAAATAATTTTGAATAACTTCAAGGCACAAGCGCCGTTTGTAATATAAAACACATTTCAAAATATCACAACTTTGCCAATAAATAAATACATAAATCAAATAAAAATAAATAAAGTAAATAATTCAGAGTCTTAAAAGGTAGGCAGTTATTTATACATTTATATTTAATAATTATTTTAACAACAATATAGAGCACCTGCACCATAAAACACAATTTAAAAAGACCTACTTAGCTTAAACCAAATATTGCCCCATTGCTTTGTTTGTTTGCTAACAAACAAATCAATAAATAAACAAACAACTGTTATAGTTTAATAATTATTTTAAATAATATTTTTTAGATATCAATATATATATATATATATATATATAACTGTTAAATCTAAATCGTACATCAAGCTCCTAAATATGATACAATATATAAGATTAATATACCTAAAATTAAAATTTTACTTGAAATGTAAGCAGGTTTGATATTCGTAAGACAATCACTTAAGTCACTCCTGAAAATAAACAAACAAATAAATAAATGTGGGCATTAAAATGAAGTATTTTTTGGGTGGAGGGATTTCGAGAAGAGAGCGGATCTGACATGTGCTTTATGAATGAACTGATTTGATTGATGTTATGAATGTGACGCGTTGTATTTTGGGACCCGCTCGAAAAACGAGATGTTAAACCTCAAGGGGTTAATCCTAATAAATAAATTCAGATTTGATAATCATAAGTGTGTGTGACCTGTAGGACTGCAGGATGTCTATGATGCCGATGAAGAGCAGGAGTCTCTCTCCTTTGCCGTTGACAGCAGGAATGCCTCCCATCCTGCAGAGAGAGCAGAGAATCAGCGTGTGCTGCTGCATCGAATCAAACTCGTGATGTTAAATCAGAGACACACACGTGTCTTCGGTGTCTATGGAGCCTCCGCACGCAGCTCCTCCCTGAATGGACTCCATGGCGGTAGAGTAAAGCGCTCGCTGCGCGGCCGGTCTCTTCTCATCGCTGCTGCTCTGAGATCCCTCCATCTGCTGCTCGCGCTCCGCCTGATCCAGATTATGAACCCCCAGCAGCAGACTGTAGTCCATGATCTTAAAGCTCTCCAACACCTGCACACACACAGCAACCCTGCGGTTTATATCTGCACTAACCCAACGAGGGCTGCATGATCAATCCAAATAGAATCTATTAAAATTATTGTTTTATTTTTCTTAAGTACTTGCTTTTTTTTCTAATTTTACAGTGAAATATTAAAATAGTAATATTTTTTATTTCGTTTTTATTATTTAAAAAGTATATTTTTATTTATCAGCAATAATAATGAATAATTCTATACATTAATTTAGTAGCAATAATACTAATAATAATAATAATAATTATTATTATTATTATTATTATTATTATTGCTAAATAAAAATAATAAAAACAAAATAAAAATATTACTATTGTAAAATTTCACTGTAAAACAGAAAAAAATAAAGTATTTAATAATAATAATTGTATTTTGTCACATTGTGATTTTGATTTTACTTCGATTAACCGTGCAGTCCTAGCTGGGTTAGTGCAGATCTAAAGTGCGTGTCGTGAAGGTGTGCTGTGTGTGTGCAGGTGTTGGAGAGTTTTAAGATCATGGACTACAGTCTGCTGCTGGGGGTTCATAATCTGGAGCAGGCGGAGCGCGAGCAGCAGATGGAGGGATCTCAGAGCAGCAGCGATGAGAAGAGACCGGCCGCGCAGCGAGCGCTTTACTCCAGCGCCATGGAGTCCATTCAGGGAGGAGCGGCATGCGGCGGCGCCATAGACACCGACGACACGTGCGTGCCTCTCATTTAAAGGCTCATGAAACCCCAGACTACTTTTTCTGAGTTTGTGTTGCACATCATAGAAGACAACGTTAGCATCCCATAATTTTAACCGTTGGAGAAAACTGATTAATTTTAGGCTTTTTTGCGCTATTTTCATCTTCCGGGTTTAAAATCTACATTGTGTTGACGTCACAATTTGTGATGTGGCAATGGACTAATAGTACATAGATGACGCATCGGTGTCTATTAAATTATTCATGAGACTGCGTGTTCTTATCCTATGAGAAGACGCTTCGCTTAATTATTCAGAACAGCATGTGTTGATTTGCTATGACAGACGCTTCAGACAGTGAGACAGTGTATGTTAACTGAGAGAAGTGTTCATGGATCAGAGGAGAGTGTTTGTTTTTGCTTTGTAATAAGAGTTCGGCACAAACGTGATTCATTCACTTAGTGAGTGTAACCGTTTTTACAGCTCCGTGACACAAGCCGTCAAAAGGCTTATATAAACACCGCAGAATAAGATTCTCTGCTCTCTCTGCAGGATGGGAGGCATTCCTGCTGTCAACGGCAAAGGAGAGAGACTCTCTTCATCGGCATCATAGACATCCTGCAGTCCTACAGGTCACACTCATGATAATGAAATAACATCAGTTCATTCGTGAAGCACATGTCAGATCTGCTCTGTTCTCTGAATCAGAGAAATCCTGATTTGCAAGTCACGTGATTCATGACCCACCCACCCACCCACAAAAA